AAAAAAAAAGAGAGGAAGAAGAAGAAGAAGAAGAAGAAGAAGAAGAAGAAATAAACGCTCAAGTTCGAATCGAGATACAATCAGATGCCCAGAATAACACAATGTGAATTACATGGGGCCGGTCAGTTTCGGTGATGACATTTCAAGGCCGCACCCATTTTTTTTCTTTTCTTTTCTTTTTTCTTTTTTTAACCGAAAAACACAGCATCAAATCTGATCCACCAATCACGTCTTTGCATCGAATATTGGTTTCTCGATACCTTTGCAATTGTCACAGTGTTTTTCATCTTTGGGTACCCACACACATCTTTTTTTTTTTTTTTTCATCTTTGGGTAAATGCACACATCTTAATTACATGTTTACTGGAATTTCTCCTGGTCCGCCAAAAAGATTTTAGACTGCTCATTTGATTGTACAAGCTGGGAAACGGGCCCAGCGTCCCTCACATCGATAGCCGCAGCCACAGGGATGAGCCAGGCACTCCGGCCAGGCTTAACCCCACCGCATCTAAATTTTGGCAGCTCTCAGAAGGCCAATGCACATGTCACACTGCCGGCTCGAAGTCCGTAGTGTGACGTGAACATTACTCGAGGGAAAAGAACAGTGCTGCATCATCTCGTCTGCTCTCCACAGAAGTTATAAATTTGTCTAAAAAGTTTCTTTTCCACAAACACCTGACCCATGGGTTGATTGTCCCACATGTCTCTCTGAACTCTGACTCACCGGCATAGATGCCTCTGCCAGACAGGAGCTTTATGTGGCAGACATCGTGTCCAGGTCCGCCATTCTTACCAGACTGTACGCATATGGTCAGACCTCGAAAGTCCTCCAAAATTGAACTAGAGAGAAAATGCATCCTTCCTCCTGCAAAACCATAAACCCAAAACCCAAAACCCAAAAGCCTTTACTTGGGGGGGGTCTTAGTGATTCGGGTTAAAACACGTACGGCGAAACGTTTTCGGAGAAACGCCGTTCTCCTTGAATCGCAGCTACCTTATGTATTTCTTGTCAAGGCTGAGTACATCATCCGTTTCTTAGTCCACCCCTCCCTGTGAATTTGGGCAGGTTTCGGGCGGGAGGGGGGGGTGGGGGGCCGCGACCTCTAGCCTAGTACTGCAATTTCAAAGCCGCGACTTTGAAGATTTTTCGTGCTCGGAAGAACTCGCAGAAAATTCTCAAAATTTGAGGGTCCGTAGATCTGCTCGCGATCTTCTAGGAAAAAATGAGAAAAAAAATAAATAATTCATTTTGCTCGTGAAATAATCGCCGTGCCGATTCCGTGCATTTCCATTTTGCCACTCTACCATGTGTCGGCTAACAGAAGAAGTATGCCACCTTTGGTGATTTTTCGCGCTCAGAAGAATTCACAGAAAATCCTAACTTGAAGGTCCATAGATCGGGTACTGATCTTCCCAGGAAAGATATCAGAAGAATTAAAAAAAAAAAAAAAAAAAAAAGCCACTTTGCCTGTCTAATAATCCCTGCATCGATGCAGCATATTTGCATTTTTTGCCACTCTGGGACCAAGGCCAGCCCCCACACCGACCTACCGCTACACAACGCGCCTGTTTGAAACAGCGGCCTACCAGTCCCCCGACTTTCTCAAGGCCAGTAAAGGGGTGGTTTAAACAGTGCCCGAAATGCCAAAAACCCGCCCAGGTTCAGACGTAAATGTGTGCAATTAGGTCCAGGTACGTCTTACAGAAACCATGACAAAAACGCCAATTGCTAGTCAAGGAAGACACAACATATTTCCACACAACAATGGTGGTTGCGACTATTTCTCGTCAATCACATCATTACCCTGCTGTTTTGCTGTTTGCCTTGTGCATAACAGCGTGTGATTCTTGCTCCATTCGGAGGGCACCCAAAGACACACTTAGGTTAACAAAAAACCTTGACTAGCAACAAAGAATTCCTGAAAGTTATGTTTATGCACTCGTCATGCTGTCTATTGCTTTAGCGGTGCGAGGTCGTTACAGATGCTGAAAAAAAGGACTTTATGTTGCGTGGTCGCAGTTCTATCTCGCTGATTTCAGGATTCCTCAAAGTGTTCCATAGCCACAGGAATGCTCATTCCGACGTATATTTCAAACACGATACATTGCAAGAACACTTGCAGAATCGCTTCAGTGGGAAAATACCTGCAGTGCCCTGCACGTTTTAAAATGGACATTCTGCAAAAGACAGCAAGCTCAGAGTGTGCCCTCCCTGCCCCCTTCTCTCTCTCTCTCTCTCTCTCTCTCTCTCTCTCTCTCTCTCTCTCTCTCTCTCTCTCTCTCTCTCTCTCTCTCTCTCTCTCTCTGTGTCTGGTGCACAAACTTTCGCCTGCCTTACATGCATGTGACATACAGGATAGACACACAAGGGTATTGGTAGAGACCTACTCTGAATCCCCAAAGCATGAAGGGCAATTTCTTGCTCACACGGTTGATGATGGTTCATTTCATTATCCACTTTCTCATCAAACTTCACTTTCTCCTGTTTTACTGGTGATTGGTTCAGATTTGTGGCCTTTAGCAGTCTATGCAACAAAAATGCTCATGTGCATCAACAGTCTGGCATGGTTGTGTGTGACATTCCTTTTCCATGAGGTCATTTCTATCAAATATAGCACACACACACACACACACGCACATACACACACACACACACACACACACACACACACACACACACACACACACACACACACACACAAACCTGATGAGTCAGCGAAAGTCTGACAATCCAGACTGGCACAGTCATGCTTTTTTCTATGGAACTGTCCATAGTGTCTATGATAACACACACAAACCCACACAGACACACACACACATGCACACACACACACTCACACATATACACACACACATGTACACACGTGTACACACACGTACGCACACTTAAACGCACATGCGCACACGTACACCCACTTACGCCCACGTACACCCACATACACACACGTACACACACATACACAGAGGGATGCACTCTCTCTCTCGTCACACATCGTGTGCTCAACAGTTTGCGCGTTGAGATCACCACAAAACAAAAGATGCAGAGTCAATCTTCACAGAGTTCGTTGCTCTGCAAATGAAATGCAGCACATGCTGCCCGGAATCATTGCTAGATGTCTTCCCCTTTTCCCATCTACTTGCTGCAATCGAACGGCTGGCGGTGCCTAGCACCACTCAAGATGGGCAATTGAAAAATGCCCAAGTGCCTGGGCTAGGTCAAACTAATCCAGGCAACACTGTTCTGCTGCTTCTGCAGCCATAAATATCGGATATTTTAAACTGGTTAATCTGAGATTATCTGACGTCCAAATAAACCCCAAATGGCCTAACTGCTCACTGCAAGCGAGCAATTATACTACTTGGCCAGTTGAAATTCGAGCCACTGACTGACCTACAAAATCACTATTACAGACGAAGCCGAAAAAAAGCACAAAAAAAAGAATGACCTGAATTCCCACTCACAGGAATGGACAAAACCTGCACACAATGGACAAAAATCTGTCGCAGCAGACTTGCAAATCCACGATGGCCAACTACTCTCTCTCTCTCTCTCTCTCTCTCTCTCTCTCTCTCTCTCTCTCTCTCTCTCTCTCTCTCTCTCTCTCTCTCTCTCTCTCTCTCTCTCTCTCTCTCTCTCTCTCTCCCTTCCTCCTCCACTCCTCTCCTCAACCCCCTTGTCCCCTTTAATTCAGCTCCTCTCCTCTTTGCCCTGCAACCTTCTTTAGACTCGTTCCCACGTTGCTCTCCAACTCTTCGTCTTGCTCTCTTTTACTTCTTCTGCATAGCTTCTCTCTGTGCAGTCCATTCTGTCAGTGTTTGCCTTTGAAGAACACTCATTCTTATCCTCGGCCGAACTGCTTTAACCATCTTCTCAGCCTCTTTCCATGTCTCAGCCTCCCCAGCTGCAACCATAGCAGCACACAGCACGGCGACACTGCGGCCATGTCCTGCATGGCAGAGAGCAATGGAACGGTGCACACGTCACAACCAACCAACCAACAAAGCGCCTACCATCATATCAGGACTGCAAGGGTCACATCACTAGTTCTAGAGGAAGCAGACCAATCCCCCATCCCAGCAACGGTGTTTGTCCATCACTGCAAATACCCTCATTCATCCTCGTCAGTGACAATCTACATCTTTTAATTTCTTTTTCATCGGAGCAATTCACTGGATTCCCCTGTCCATGGTCACGAGTTTCTCCCTTTCATCAACTGCCACCGCTGGAGCACTACTACACCTGAAGTGTGCATATTGCCAATATAACAGTCGGGCAAGACATTGGACTTCTCTACTAGGCTACCAGAGTGGCCCGGGGTCAGTTGCCCGGCCGGGCCAGAAACAATTAAAAAAACAAAAGTAAGAAGTTAAGAACATTATTATTTTTAAATTTTATTCAATTTTATTCTTTATTCTAAATTGGTGAAGAATTTCGATGTGACCATGGGGCAAAAGTTGTTCAGTTATATTTTTCTGCATAACATAGCTTTTTTCCGGATTTTTTTCTATTTTTTTTTTTTGGCTGGGACAGTCCCTGGTCCTTGCACCCGGGAACCGGGCGGCCCGGCTGGTAGCCTAACTTTGTCTTTTTTTATTTTCATTTTTTTTAAAATAAGACCCAACTTCAGCTTATAAACTAGGGGCAGTGAAAAGCGCAACTTCCCCTAGTAGGCCTGATGCCGGACTTCTCTACGTTCCTGCCAAGTCAATGCGAAATGCGGTTGAGGACCCTCTCTCAATTTCCGCGTTGCATCCCCTTGCATAGAGCCCATGCTAATTTTCTCCGTATCGTTCTGTATGACATGAGCTTGTCAAGACAACCTGCGCGTGCACATGTTCTCTGCACCTGACTGCAGTTTTCTGTCAGGAAAATGTACCCACCATCACATTACTGGCCGAAGCAGATTACCAGGGTCCGAAAGTGTCATCAGCAGAAAGTACGCACAGCCACAAGGATGGGGTGAGGCAGTTTGTCACACATATATGTTATATACCCCCTACACGCTTACGTCCGTCTCCGTCTCCGTCTCTGTCCACTTGCAACCGGGTACCCACTGGCCAAACCGGTTTCTTTTATCGATTTTCCTCGTTCCGTGCTCTCCCCTTCCGGTTCAAATGCCCTCGAGACCGCCACCCTTCAGCCCAGCAGGGCAAGCCAAACAAACTTACTGAATCTTTGTTCAAGGGTGTGCCCACTTGGGGGCAAATTTCAATACAAAGTTTAAAACCATTTTCCTTTTTTCTTTACGTGTTCCCCGCACCCTTCAGTCCATGTCCCGAACCGAGACCTGGAACACATGGTGCGGGTAGTGGCACGATTTCTCGAAGTAAGGCTTAAGCCTTCGGCCCTTCTTTTTCAAAGACGCTCACTCACAACTCGACGAGCTAAAGGCCGCCACGGGCCGGCTTTTCTCGGGTTTCTTATCAGCTCCTCCAGGCACTCCCACTAAGGAGCGGCCTCTGCTCTGCATCACAGACACAGAGTGCAAGCAGACTTGTACAGTAAACAGTGACGACAGCGTAGGAGGACTGAGGACAGTCAAACCCCATATCTCAAGGGCCAGGTCAGGAGTCCGGACATTCTGTATTTTGTGCCCTCCAGGTCAGCAGGATGCGGGAGAGCAGCACTCCCCCCAGAGATTAGTCACAAAGCAGTTGGCGAGGAGACTTGTGAACCGCGGTGCTAAAGAGAGAGAGAGGTGGTCTGCTGCAGGGGAGAGAGTAGAGAGAGGGTGGTGGCCATAGCTACCCTGAATATACTTACATGTGGGCGTAACCACTCCACAGCACGGTTCAAGGCATCACCTTTTGCTGGTCAGTTCGTTCCACTCTGGAAGAGACAGGGATTTGGGTAGATTAGATCTTCTTCTCTTCTCTTCTCTTCTCTTCTTCTTTTTCTCTTCTTCTTCTTCTTCTTCTTCTTCTTCTTCTTCTTCTTCTTCTTCTTCTTCTTTTGACTGGTGGGTTAAGGGTGCTCTGTGGGAGTTTGTGAAATGAGGAGTACGTTTGTTCCTCTAGCGTGCGCCAGACAGCAAAATGAAATGGTCACCGTCAGGCTGTACTCTTTTGCAAAAAAATGTAACAGGGCCTTCGTTTTTTTTTTTTGTTTTTTTTTTTTTCATAATTTGAACCGGCCAAGACTGCTGCTTGCGGACTGTGGTACAGGTACTAGTCAGGAAGAAGTACCTGGACCCGTGCTTCAATAAGGTTCTGTTTCTTCTGAATAAAATTTCCATACGACAAGGTGAAATATGGAAGCTCCCTTCAGCCATGCTGACTGCAAAAGACATGGAAGGGACAGAATCGCTATGGTAGTAAGGAGCGACCATAGCGTGTTGGTCGCTCGACTATATTAGGATTGCTTTTTTTAGTAGCCTCAACTCTTTGATCGGCACATCATGTGGAGACGGGTTCTCCGTTATGGGATGAAGGAAGGAGGGAGAGCAAGACAGGTCCTCGGAATAGACTGTGGAGTAGAACTGGAAAGCAAAAAAAAAAAAGAGAAAAAGGCAGTCTTTGCTGACGGCCATTTTGTCTTAATTTAGATCGAGGTTCCCTGGTTTCCTTTTGAAGCTTCCTTTCACTGTTCTCTGCTGTCTTTTCATGTTCTTTCTTTTAGCTTTACGACTTCTTTCATCCGGGTTGCGTGTCTTCCTAGCATCACTCCCGCCCGTGCCTTTTTCTTTCAGTTTCAGTTTCTTCCAAGCATCACTCCCACCTGTGCCTTTTATGGCTTCTTAAATAGATTGGAGCTATTTAAGTTGAAAAAAAAAAAAAAAAAAACCTCTAGGCGTCCTGAACTAAAAAATAAAAACAAAAAAAAAATAAAAAATAAAAGATCCAATCAAGTGGGGCCTCAGCCTCAGCGAAAGAGTCCTGGATTTCCCCACACATAACCACGTGCAGGACAACCTCGAATCGTGCATGCATCAAACCATCACCGCGTTCCCTTATAGCAAAGATGTCAGACAATGTTGCAGTAATGAGCGACTTTCCCTTTACGCTCTGAAAATAATGATCTGAATTCCTTCTCTAGTTTGGCAATGCTGCAGCAATGATTGACATTCCCTCAAACCTATGAAAACAAAATACCCCCCCCCAAAAAAAAAGAAGTGTGTGGCACGGAACTTGTCAGGAAAACTGCTGTGTAAATGATCCTGCACTCCCCTTCGAATTTCTATTAAAAATCCCAAAAAAACAGCCTGGTAAAGATGCACTTGGATGTGGCAGTGCGCAAGTTAGAAGCTGATCCCACCTCTAGCAGGCGAGGCACTTTTAGGGAAATTTCGGGATCCCACCTCTTTCCACACAAAGCGGAGAGGGTCCTCTTTTTTCGAGGAAGTGGAAACGATTCGGGACGTGGCAAGCCGGGCGCATTTGCAGGCATCAAAGTTCTTTTGAAAGGCAAGAGACGACCACCCCGTACCCTTCCCCGAAAAAGAAGGCGGGGTTTTCCGGTTTTCTTTTTTTCTTTTTGGATGTCCGCATCAGCCACTTGGAACGTCCGCTCGGCCAAAGGGCTGTGCGACGTGAGGAGAGTGCGAGAACTGGCATGCGGCCAGCCGATGTCCCAGCACACGGCCACACGGGCCCTGAGCACTGAAAATTTGCCGACAGGGCCAACGGACATGTCGGTCTGGGGCTCGCAGTGTGCACCGTGGGTGCCCCTCTCGTTCGCTGTTGTCCTGTACTGCCAGTGCCCGTCCCGTGTTGACTATCGTATTGTGCACCTTCCCTCTCCGTACCACACTCACGTTCAAAGAGCTCTTGCCACGTCGTCCGTGCATCTGACGGCACTGTGCAGTCCTAATCCGACGTCGTTGCCACACTGTCGGTAATAGCCTCCCGTCGCCCATCGGTATAGGGCGAACGCGAACTTCAAAGACGCTGGCTACACCTGTCGATACATGGTGTCCATCCTTTGTATCCTCGGCGCGATCCGCTCCAAAATCTGGTCGAATAGGGGCTTCGTGAGACGTGTGTACTCACGGAATTTCTTCTCTTCTCGTGTCCCACTCCTTCCATGTTAAGCTCCTCCCATGTCCCGCCCACTCACTCTCGAACCCCAAGCCGTCTCCGTCGTCTGCCTCCCAACGGATTGAAAGCACCCCCCCCCCATGTCCTTCATACAAGTCGTATGCCAGGAGCAACAAGATTGTCGTCGCATTGTGCATGGCAACGATGTTCGTCACAGCATGCATGAACATCATAGCGGCGATCACGCACAACTGCTCCCTCATTCGCAGCCATCGAATGACGGCAGCAAGCACCATGCCGAGATGAATGGGTCGCATGTCTTCCGAGGAAGGACAAACAGCAGACAAAAATGGGGGAGGAGAGAGAGAGAGAGAGAGAGAGAGAGAGAGAGAGAGAGAGAGAGAGAGAGAGAGAGAGAGAGAGAGAGAGAGAGAGAGAGAGAGAG